TGCTTTATAAAAATATAAAAGGACAGGGGCGCCTGGGTGGCTCAGTCGTTAAGCTTCTGCCTTCGGCTCGGGTCATGATCTCAGGGTCCTGGGATCCAGCCCCACGTCGGGCTCCCTGCTTGGCAGGAAGCCTGCTTCTCCCTCTCCCACTCCCCCTGCTTGTGTTCCCTCTCTCACTGTGTCTCTCTCTGTCGAATGAATAAAATCTTTAAAAATATATATATATAAAAGGACTGCATTAAGAATCTGGGAAGCCAAAAAGGCTACATGTGGCAAACAAACAGAAGAAATTAAGCATGTAATTTCAGAATTTAGAAAAACTTGCAGGTGGTAGTGTGTACATTAGATGGATGAACATGGCTACTACAGGTTGTCCTGAGGTAACAGTTGATGCTCCTCACACCTTGCTTGGTAGGCTGGCCACTCATACAGGGCCTTCTGTGAAAATTGTCTGCTTATGTTCCCTCAGTATTACGGAGCTGTGTATCAAAGGCCTTATAAATTCTTACCCTTTTAACCCAGTAGTTGGAGCAGTCCTCATGTGGAAAGGTAAGTGGAAGAAACTAAGAGAATCTTTTATATGCAAACATTTTTGTTCAGCATTGTTTGAATAGGAAACTAAATGGGGGAGGACTAAATATTCAAGAAAGGGAGATTTGGTTAAATTATGGTACAGACATATGATACAGTGTAGATGAAAATATTTTGTTAGGGTCTACAAGGAATTGGTTTTTGTATGTTCATTTTAAAAGAATACCGATAGTAAATTTAATAAAATACTGAATATACCAGAATGTCATTAACTGCGTATCATTATTACGGGAATGACAAGGAAAAATATTATTTTATACTAAGCTTATATATGTTTTACTTTATAGGTAGGGTAGAGAATTGGGAAGACAATAAAATGAAGGAGGAAGAGAGATCATTTGGGAAATGTCCTAATTTTTCCTAGTCATAGACCGTTCATATTCTAATAGCGATTTTTAAGCCTATGTATTTAAAGATAATACAAAGGGCATTAATAATGTTAGGAGTTTTGGAGGAGCAAAAGTGTCATTAGATACTTGTTTTTTATCGGCCGGTAAAGGGAGATTCCTCTCAGAATACACAAAGACATAGCTGAGGAGTAAAAGTAAGAAGGAAACTAGAGGGAGTTGTGATTTAAAAGTGTTACTGATGAATGAAAAGTGCCCAAACAGGAAGATTTGAGGAGACTATAAATTTTTTAACTGGCAAGGTATTAGTAGGGACGGTTAATAAAAATGCATTATGTTTGTGCTTTTAGATTTACAAAGCAAATTTTACTTAGAATGGTTTTTAATCCCTGAGGATTTTTCGTAAGTTTATCATGCTCCTGAAATAGAGTTCTGTTTTCTTACTTGAAAACAGAATAAGTGATTGGCTTTGGTTCTTCCAGTACGGGTTATTGGAAAGTGAATTGTTTGCATGAACTGCCAGTATAAAACTGTGGCTTTATAATAGATCTGCTTTATTTTTACATAGCAAAGTTACTCCTAGTTAGTAATACTCAAATTTTGTGAAATCTAAAGTAATTAAGATAATTTGTCCTAATGGGAACTGGAGAAGTAAACTAGTGTGAAACCTGTATCATGTCAAGAATTCTCACATAGACTGTGACAGAAGGCCACTTAAAGTACACAAGGTGAAGTAGACGCTCCAATTCACTCCTTCTGAAATTGAGTAGCAGCTAGTACGGCTAATTTTTTATAAAAGTGTTCTGGTATGCAAAAAAATATCCTTTTTATAACCACATAATAAACTAATGTATGTAACTTACGTTAAAATTATTCTGTGGAAGGGCACAAATACTGCGTAATATTAACAGTCATTAAGTATAGGTGATGTGGGTGTTCATTATACAGTTGTGTTTATGCTCTCCTTTATGCTCAAATAGGCACTTTCCTGCCTATTTGAAATTTTTCCTAATAAGAAAAAAGAAAAGCCTAGAATGCTTAAGTAGTCCTATTAGAAAAGCTGAAGGAAAAATTGCTTATAGTAATACTTTGAATAAGGTATGGATCAGGATGAACTTTTCACCTAGGTAGAAATTATTAATATATAAAGGATATATATTTTTTTCTGTTCCATATCTTGTTAAACTCTTAAGTCAAAAATAAATTTTGAGATAACTAGAAAGAATACATGTTTAACAAAAAGAAAAAAATAAAAGGATGTATGTATCCATTACCTCACTAAACTGGATAAATTGGCTATCCTGGCAATCCTCTTTCTTTGTTAAAGCACCACTTGGTGGTGATAAAGCTGGCAAGACACAAAGCATTCTAATGCAGTCTGTAGTTAGTGATCACTTGCATTGGGAACATTTAGTACTTCATAATTTGCTAGCATTATGCCCCGGGCTTTTCCCCATTTTTGTTTCTCCTAATTCTGAAATGGCCATTAGTTGGAGCTTTGATCCTCTAGATTGATCATCTTGTTTCTTCTCACTTCTCTTTTGTATATTGAGCGTCTTTCTCCTTTATGCTCTAAGAGGTTTTTTTTTTTTTTCACCTTTGGTTATCTAGTGAACTTTTTATTTATTATCTCCAATCTTTTTGAGGGTAATAAATTGAAACGTTCTGTTTCCTTCCCCACCTTTACCCTTTTTTAAAATTCTGTGTTACTCTGGAGTCAGTTTTTCTGTTGGTTTTTCTTGAACTTTTTCCTTTGATATTAAAGATTTTTCTGATGTGTTTCGGAAGCCTTGGTTAATTGGGACCTCTAGAATGATTGGCAGGGTGTGGTGGAGGGAGCCAGCCCTCGGGCCGAAAGTTCTGTCCACAGGAAGAATGAGGAAAGCTTTCCTTTTGGGCAAGATTCTGGCCTAGTTCTCTTTGGACAGCATATTCAGTTTCTAAAGAAATTTCTAAAGTGAAGAGTTCTCATATTTTTGGAAAATTTGGATTTGTCTGCAGAGTAATGTAGGAGTGAGTTGGTTATACTGTTGCTTATGTAGATCCCCATTTTCCTTCCTACTTTTTATTTCTGAGCCTGCTGGATTGACACTTGCCCTCCCTCACACACAGGATTGAAGTGAAGAGCAAGAATAATTCTTTTGTATGCTGCATAAAAAATTTAAAGTGCTATAAAAATAATAGTATTTACAAGTCCCCAACATACAAATTGATATTGTAAGTTTGGAATAGGAGCTTGCTTTTTTCCATAAAATCAGTATAGATTATGATCAATTTACGGATCAGCCCATATAAAGATTTTACACAGTAACGTGGCAAAATGTTTTGCCTTTGCATCAACAACAAGGAAACAATACTATAAATGTTTTTGTCTTGAAGCCATGTACACTTGAACCTTGAACAATGCAGGGGTTAGGGGCACCAACCCCTCCGCACAGTGGAAAATCTGCATATAACTTTTGACTTGTTAAAAACTTAACTACTAATAGCCTACTATTGACCAGAAGCCTTACCAATGACATAAAGTTGATTAATACATATTATTTATGTATATTATAGTGACTGGTTGGTTTCTGAACCCTGTGGCATTCATTGGCCAAAGGAGGAGCCTAATGTAGACCATGTTTTAGGTCGCCTTTCCCGGAAATATACTGGGAGCTGGAGTGGGGAACTCAGTTTCCAGAGAGTTGGAAAAATAAAAGTTAAAATGCAGCATCAGTGAATAGGGTACTTGGGTATTTCTCAAAGTGTGGTCTGCATCCTAGAATGTTCATTAAAAGTTCAGGTTTCTATGCCCCACTCCAGTCTATTGAATCAAAACATTAAACACATAATCCTGCTTGGTATCTTAAAAGATTCTTAGATGGGAACCACCTTTATTATTTTCTGTCCTTCATTTTGCTGTGTACAAAGATTGTCAGTTGTTTGTACTGTGGACACTAAAACAATTGTATCCACAATCTTGTCATCTTCACGTGTCAAGTGATCTTTGTGGTTGTAAAAATCTAGTACTGGAAGAGCAATTTCAGGAATAATTAATACATGCTTCCTTTACATTTGAGCAAATAGGACTTGGGAGTGTAGTTTCCAACCTTAGACTCCTTTTTACATTGATAGAATACACACTTCACACTTACATATTTTAGTCTGTATTTTTACATATTGGTAAGCCAATATGAAATTTGCGGTGCAAGATAAACGTTTAGGGGAATACTTTGTGATAAAGGAAATTTTGTTATTAGAAATATCTAGTGGCCATGAGCCTTTAAACAGTTCTCATTTGCAGGTAGTTTCCCATGTGATTCAGTATTGTGACTATTACACAATAAAGCCAAAATGCAAACACAGAGGCTAAGATTTATATATATAAATATATAAATATGTAATTATATATGAGTGATTAAATTTTTATAATCAAAACAGTATTAGTAATACTTATATTTATAATACATCATTGCTATAAATTTGAGCTAGAAAAATTTTACTAAAAAAAGGTGCTTTTTGTGTTGCAGACTTGCATTTGAAAAGTAATTTTACTTCTTAGTAAAAGATTAAGTGAAGGTATTTTAGATGGCATTGTATCAGGAAAGAAAAACCATTTAATGAAAATCTGGTGTGTTTTTTTTTTTTCCCCCATGTCCAATTCCACTGTCCAGAATTTTTCAGTGAAAGAAGTTAAAAAGGGAGAGAGGCCTTTTGGGAACTCAAGGAGGAGTTGATTTTGAATAGTTTTTTTCCCCCACTTTGGCTTTCACTATAAATTTTCTTTATCTGCAACAGTAATTATGCTTTCTGACCTCCTGAATAACTGTAATTTGTATTTCTACTTAAAAAGAGGTGCTTGTTAACGAGGAATTTTTACTAAGAGGTTCAGCAGTGGTGGAGCTGTAGTTGAGTGTTACGGAGGAGACTGTGGAGTCTAGGTTTCACTCTCACATGATAAAAGGGGATTTGGGGCTTTTCATGGATATCGTCCATGATGTTTAGCAGGCCATCCTAGGGACTGAAAAGTACTAAAAACAAACTAATTTTAAATCCTAATGACTTGATTAACTCTTTTAGGGTATCTGAAGCACACCATACAACGGTTTTGAAAATCCCGTGTGGGCAATGGCTACCCAAGGTTTGTATCATAAATCTTTAGTTACTGAATCGGGGCTCTGCTTCATTGCCATTAACCCAGTCTGGCTCAGATCCCCCTGCTTTACTCTCTCCCTGCTTACTTGTCAGGCTACCTTTTGCTCCATTTTCTGCTCACTCCTCCTAATGGCTTGGTGAAATAGCAAACAAGCCACCAGCAGGAATCTAGTCTGGATGACTGCTTCTGGAGCCTGGATGCAGTACCATTCTTCCGCTAATTCAGTGAGTAACTGTTAGGTGGTCCCCCTAAGAGTGTAGAAATTTCATCACTGAGCTAATCCTGGCTATTGTTATTCTTGGCTGTCTTTCAGATTTGACTGTTCCTAACAATATTTCAGTGGGTCGTCATATCACAGATTTTTAAGGTGAAGATAACATTTCCGTGGTAGTAATGCTAATGCTGTTTGATTTTTATAGCTGACTTGATGGAGCTGGACATGGCCATGGAGCCAGACAGAAAAGCGGCTGTTAGTCACTGGCAGCAACAGTCTTACCTGGACTCTGGAATCCATTCTGGTGCCACTACCACAGCTCCTTCTCTGAGTGGTAAAGGCAACCCCGAGGAAGAGGATGTGGATACCACCCAAGTCCTGTACGAGTGGGAACAGGGCTTTTCTCAGTCCTTCACTCAAGAACAAGTAGCTGGTAAGAGGGTTATTGCCTTATTAGTAAGAGTCAGAAGTCAATTTTGAGAATGATTCTTACAAAAGTTAGTGTGTAATCGCTTAAATAAAATGATGTAAAGAGAGGGGAGTGGTTGTGATGTTACCTCACCACTTAGGGTAGCACGAACTCAGGCAAATGCTGAATTATGGATAGTGAGTGCTGATTATCTTTTCCAGATATTGATGGTCAGTATGCGATGACACGAGCTCAGAGGGTGCGAGCTGCTATGTTCCCTGAGACCCTAGATGAGGGCATGCAGATCCCATCTACACAGTTTGATGCCGCTCATCCTACTAACGTCCAGCGTTTGGCTGAACCATCGCAGATGCTGAAACATGCAGTTGTAAATTTGATTAACTATCAAGATGATGCAGAACTTGCCACACGTGCAATCCCTGAACTGACAAAACTGCTAAACGATGAGGACCAGGTAAGTAACGATACAGCGAGCTTTTAATCTGCTTTGAAGGAAACTTTCAAGGAAGGAGCCTCAGAATGTCTACCCAATAGCAGTATTTGAAAACTAATGCTGTCTCTTAATTCCTATACATTATAGGTGGTGGTTAATAAGGCTGCAGTTATGGTCCATCAGCTTTCTAAAAAGGAAGCTTCCAGACACGCCATCATGCGTTCTCCTCAGATGGTGTCTGCTATTGTACGCACCATGCAGAATACAAACGATGTGGAAACGGCTCGCTGTACTGCTGGGACCTTGCACAATCTTTCTCATCATCGTGAGGGCTTGCTGGCCATCTTTAAGTCTGGGGGCATTCCTGCCCTGGTGAAGATGCTCGGGTAAGAAAACGTGGACAGAATGCTTGAAGCTAGGAAGGCAAAGAGTGCCCTCACAGCATTTCTGATGAGGCTTTTTTCTTCTTCCCAGTTCACCGGTGGATTCTGTATTATTTTATGCCATTACAACTCTCCACAACCTTTTATTGCATCAAGAAGGAGCTAAAATGGCAGTGCGTTTAGCCGGTGGGCTGCAGAAAATGGTTGCCTTGCTCAACAAAACAAATGTTAAATTCTTGGCTATTACAACAGACTGCCTTCAGATTTTAGCTTATGGCAATCAAGAAAGCAAGGTAAAAGAATTGTTCTGAGTGTGGTTCATGGAGCGTCAGGAAATCCAGTGTCATGTCCTTCTGTGGACTCTTGCACATTCTTTGTATGCTTCATCCTTTGTGTATATCCTAGAAAAAAAAAGTTGGACATCTCTTTTTCTTTAAACATTTGTCTGTATGAAGCTAGGTGATAGGGTATAGTGGGCAAACTTAGAGCTTTCATTCTTAGGTGGGTGATAGACACTGAGATAATCTAATTACTGTTTAATCCATATATTCCAAGGAAGTAGAGGGGCTATGAGAGCAGCATATATGTGAACCAGACCCTGTTTGGAAGGTTCAGGGAGACCTGTGGGAGGAAGTGATAGTTGAGTTCAGCTCTCAAGGATGAGGAAAAACTGACTAGGTGACGGTCAAAGAGAGGAAATGACACCTTTGAAAGTCCTACTGAGGGAGGAGAGGGATGAGTTTATGAAGAGTAAAGAAGAGTAAAGGTTTGAGATTGAGACCATTGAGATATCAGCAGGGCAGGTCGTGCAGGGCCATGTAGAATATGTTCAAAGAGTCATGGAAAGCAGTTCAGTATCAGCAGAGGCACGAAGTGATGAGATTTGTTCTTAGAAAATCAGGATAGTTTGGAGGTGGGGGTATACAGGGAAGTAAAGGAGAAGAATGAATGATGATTTTGTGATACATCATTTTAAGTAGGTGAATAATGATTAGGAAAAGCCAAGAGCCAGATCATTAGGAGTTCTAAGCGCCTGTTCTGGTTCAAATTTTCAACAAATCCACTTTGATGGATTTGTTGAACTGCTGTTGATGATACAGCATCATTATCTGGACCTTACTGTTGCATACCAACATGGTTTCTGTTTGTTTCTTTTGCTGTGATCAGTGGGGGAGGAAGAAAATTGGGACAGAGTTGATATATTCTTGGGAGTACTGGGATGCCTGAATTTGAGTGGAATGCTGTAGAAGGAGGGGTTAAACAGGGCTCCAGTATGGGGATCTGGGTAATGGGTCCAGGAATACATTTAGGTCAGTGGCAAGCTGGCTGAAATGCTTGTATAACAAAATAGGTTGGTAATGTGGCTTTTCTTGGGCATATGGTGAAGATTCCATGACTAACGATACATACATATACATGTTTTTCTAGCTGATCATCCTGGCTAGTGGTGGACCTCAAGCTTTAGTAAATATAATGAGGACCTACACTTACGAGAAACTACTGTGGACCACGAGCAGAGTACTGAAGGTGCTCTCTGTCTGCTCTAGTAATAAACCAGCTATTGTAGAAGCAGGTAAGTATTCTGAGTGTCATGTGTACAGCATTTTGCAGTTCTAATTAGATTACCTGTCTTAGGGAAAGGGTAATACACCTTGACCTGTTAAGGGGCTGAAATTGAATAGAAGCAGTTTGCAGCCAAGATCACATTCGAAGTATATGTCTTGCTTGACACCTGCACTGGTGCTGTTTAAGCCTAGTTTAGGCAGAGTTCTTATTACCCATCAAAAATGATTGCTGATACTTGGTAGTTTACAGTTTATATTGTGTGCATGTTGGTAGCAGAGGAAAGGAATAGGTGGACCAACCAGGGCCTTTTGTTTTTTCTATCATGAGGATACAGTTACTTTTTCAGCTACCTAGCATCAGTTCTCCTTTCTGTAACCCACTTAACAGTATCTACCTGGATTCTTAAACCAAGCTTCATATCACAATTGGAAGAGGGAAAATATGAAAGCATTTAATAGAAGAAAATGGTGGGAGTAAAGTGTAGGGTTGGTAACACCTGTTTTTCTCACTTGTTGAGAGTAATTTTACTTGAGAATTTGTGGGAGGGGCATTATGATTACCCAGGATGGCGGCTGGCACTGGGACGGACAGGTGTGGCTGCATTCATATTCAACAAGGGAATGAAATTCTGCCAGCTATTCCAGAAATATGAGGAGTGCTTGCAAAAATTGCAGATTTTGGACTTAATCCCCAAGAATCCTTGGAGTGAAGTGAGTGACAAGGTCAGTAGGTAGTTGGAAATGTGTATGGGACTAGAGACCTAGGCATCTTCCATTTTAAGAAGTTAGCCAGGTTATTCTGATGTTCATTTGTGTGTTCTGAAAACATTCAGCACCTGTGTCTCATACACTATAATAAGCATGTGGTATACACTGGATAACCAAGCAGATATGGTCCCTGTATTCTTCCATTCTGGTGAGGGTGACAAAAATATGCAAAAGACGGGGGGAGGGGCATTACAACTTAGAATGACTTCTGTGTCGGGGAGAAAGGAACAGCAAATGCTGATACAGAAGTAGTGGGAAGGGAAGAGCTTTCCTGGGAAGGGGACATAAAATGGGGTTGCAGGATGAGAAGGCACCTGTTAGCTATATGAGAAGTGGGGATTAGATGCCTTCTAGGCAGGGAAAAGAAACATGTGCTATGTCCTGAAGGGAAGAAAGAGATTGTTGATCTCTAAGTGCTAAAGAGGAAGTGTGTGTAACTAGAATTTAATGAGTAATTGGTGAGTAGCCCAGAATGAGGTTGAGGGGCTAGGTAAGGGCCCATATCTTACAGGACTTTCTAGGCCTGTAAGATGTTCATTTATGCTTTTTTTCCAGCTTTAGAACCACAGATGTAGAATATTCAGTTCAATTTGCAGTGCTAGGTGGGATCCAAATTCTAAAGGGTTCCTTAAGGTTATGCTAAAGAATTTGGCCTTTGTCTTACAGAAAATGAGAACTTACTAATGGTTATTAAGCAGTGGCACAGCATCACAGTGCGGTGTTTGGAATGTTAGTATTAACAATGTGTGACAGTTTGAATGACCAAAGGCAAGCAGACCAGGCCACTGACATGTGTTACAGGCTTCTAGGAATGAAACAGTTTGGTATTAAAAATACACCGCAAAGGATGACTGTTTTGAGGTTTCTGAAAGAACCCATAGAATATAATAACTTACGGGTTAAAGGTACAACTAGAAGTGGTTTGTGGTGGGGAGAACATAGGTACCATTAAGGTAAAGGGAACTACCAGAATGGGTTAGTTTAAGATTTGGAACAAGATAATTTAAGAAGCTGACATACTGACTGACTAAAACGGCGGTAGGTAGGTGGAAACGTATGGTACTAAAATGCAGGGGAAGACTGGGCTAGAGATTTGGGAGTTTTCCTGTCACTGTAGGAGGGAAGGGGGTGTGTGCCTCAGGGGGCATCTGCATGGGACTCTTCCCTTAGACCTGCTGAGTACAGTATGTGTTTTTAAAGTCTACAGGCTGTTCTGATGGGACATTTGCAGGTGAGATCCACCCTGTTAGAGTGAAGAGTAAAAGGAGGGAATGAAATCTGTGAGGAAAAGAAGGTAGAGGGGAATCTAGTCATTTAACAGATATTGAGCATCAGCCTTTTGCAGGTCACTCGCTCAGTAGCTGGAGCTGCTATGAGGAAGGAACCAGATAGGGACGATCCTTGTCCTGTAGAGGAGGTAAACTTAATTTTAAAACAGACCTAAAAAGGGGCACCTGGTTGGCTCAGTTGGTAGAGCATGCGACTCTTGATCTCCAGGCTCATGAGTTCAAGCCCCACGTTGGGTGTTGAGCCTACCTATGATTTAAAAAAATAATAAAAAATGAAAAATAAAACAGACCTGAAAAGATGAACAAGGAGGTGAGGGAAAGTATCTCACTACGTTCAGAAGTGACTTCAGTAGGAGACAGATGGGTGAAGTTAGGCCATTATGTGAGGGAACTGAGCTTCATTTAGACTTCTCCACCAGTATAAATGTCCTTCCTTAGGCTCCTAGATGGTGACAGGTTGTGAACCTTTGGGGCACATGTTTTTGGAGTCAGTACCTTTCATACGGTCCCTGGTAATAAGCATTCCAGTGCCTTTTTGAATTGGTCTCCCATAGCTCCTTCAGGTCTTTGCTCAGATGTCACTTTCACACTGAGGTGACCTAATTACACTACTTGAAACTGTAGCCCCCACCAGCTTTTTTTTCCATAGCACTTAACACCATCTGACATACTATGTAGTTTCAGTTTAAGTGTGTATTTATTGTCTGCCTCTAGCTAGACTATGAGCTCTATGAGAGTAGGGACCTTAGAGTATTTTGCTCACGGTAACAGCTCCAACTCAAAACAGGGCCTGATATTGGGTGAATATTTTTGAGATGACTGGATGAAAGGAAATAAACAATACAGATATTACTTAAGGAGGACAGTGGAAATAATGAAGGCATTATTTTCCACATAGGGAAGGAACAATAGATGATACTCAACAGAAGTTGTCACTAGTTGAGGTGAATCGGAAAAGAAAGGGGAACTGAGCAACATCCTAGCAAATGAAAAGAAAGGACTTAGATGGAGGGGATGAGCTTTGGCAATGAAGATGGACACTCTCTAAGCCTAGAAAAGACAGTGCTGATAGGAATTGCCAGCTAATGGTCATTGCCTGAGATCTTCTTTCACATTCTAGGTGGAATGCAAGCTTTAGGGCTTCACCTGACAGATCCAAGTCAACGTCTTGTTCAGAATTGTCTTTGGACTCTTAGGAATCTATCAGATGCTGCAACTAAACAGGTAAATTTTGAGTATGCCAGTGCCTTGGTGACAGAATTAAGTAAGATGAATATGTACTGAGCATTTGTTTATATGTCCATAGGAAGGGATGGAAGGTCTTCTTGGGACCCTCGTTCAGCTTCTGGGCTCAGATGATATAAATGTGGTCACCTGTGCAGCTGGAATTCTTTCTAATCTCACTTGCAATAATTATAAGAACAAGATGATGGTCTGCCAAGTGGGTGGTATAGAGGCGCTTGTGCGTACTGTCCTTCGTGCTGGTGACAGGGAGGACATTACTGAGCCTGCCATCTGTGCTCTTCGTCATCTGACCAGCCGACACCAGGAAGCAGAGATGGCCCAGAATGCTGTTCGTCTTCACTATGGACTACCAGTTGTGGTTAAACTCCTGCACCCACCATCCCACTGGCCTCTGATAAAGGTAAACTGTCAGTCAAAATAGAAGGTTGCACAATTGAAAATGAACCACCTCTAGCTATTGGATGGCTGTCTAGGCATAAGGGATTGACAAGTACGAGTCGTATTCCTTAGTAAATAGGAAGTATGGCTAGGGTGGGGTCCCGAAGTATTTGTTAAGTCTGAGCTACTTTCAGGTGACACCAATAGATTTAGTGTGGTGGGAATTTTAGGCTCAGAAGATGATTTTGTTGAGTTACATGCCCATTCTTTATTTTTTCTTTTTATCTACAGGCTACTGTTGGATTGATTCGAAATCTTGCCCTTTGTCCAGCAAATCATGCACCTCTGCGTGAGCAGGGTGCCATTCCGCGACTAGTTCAGTTGTTGGTTCGTGCCCATCAGGATACCCAGCGCCGTACGTCTATGGGCGGAACACAGCAGCAGTTTGTGGTAGGTAAATCTGAATAGTGACACCTGGCTGTTTAAAAGGAATGCACAAGTTCATAGGATCCTGAACTTCTGAAGGTCATTGGTTCCTTTCATCTTCTTGCCTGTAGGGGCTATTTGCTAATGGTTTAAAAAAAAACAACAAAACAAAACTGACATGTTTCTGTGGCTGTGGAAAAGATAAGGAATAATGTGGCTCCTAGTGATGTTGCCTTTGATCTCTCCATTGCATCATCAGTCTTACAAAGAGAGCATGGGTGTGATGTACTGCTGTGGGGTTAGGCACTTCATACAGTGTTTTCATTTAATCCATACAGAGGTTCACCTTCTTAGAAAGTAATAGAACCATAATTTGAATCCAAGTCTTATTCCCCATTAGAACATGAGTTTTGCCTGTAAGTATGTAACACACTTAGTTTAGTGTCTCTTCCAGGAATGGTTTAAACTGTTTTCACAGACCTAAGAATACTAACAAATTTCAAGAATAACTAGTAGCATCTCTGGAATCTTTACCTGTAATAGCCTAAAGCTTTGATGTCAGGTTTGAAATCTTTAAAAACTAGCTTCATTGTAAGTATCTAAAGACACTTTAGAATTTATTCCTCTCAATTTATTTTTGAAGATTCAGATTTTCAGAGAGTCTTCTCTTATTGAATTAGGTTACTTTAGAAAACAAGAGCCTACCAGAACAGATTTTGGGCATCTCTTCTAAGTCCCTTCTCTAGGAAGAAGCGAGTATTTGTGTCTTTATAAAAATCAAGTTGTTTATAAAAGCCACTAAAAATACCAGAATCATTACCTTTTTTAAAACTCAGGAACAGGGAAAGCAGAGAGTACCTACATTTTGCAAAAGTTAACTTCCTTCTCCCATATAGACCACTGGTCAAACAGTCTTGGAGGCTGTGAGGAGTGGATCTTCCACCTGACAGCTCAATAGAATTTTAGCAGTTGGTGATAAAACTTTGCTTGGTTTTCACTGATACACATAGAAATACAAAAATAAATAGAGGGAGCATATGGAAGTAAAGCATTTGTCAGTTTGTGCGTTACTTTGCCATCTTTGTGTATCTTTATATTTTCCTTTTACTGAAAGTGGTTGGTGTCTTGACTGTAAGAAAGTTATCTTTGGGATTCAGAGTATGTCAGAGCTCTATTTCCTGTGCGTAGTATGTGTGTGTGGGGGGGGGGGGGGATGCAGCTAGGAATTAGTGCCATCCTGAGCCCCCCGCCCCCTACCTCCATAACGTTCATCTTCATGGAATCCTCCTTCATTCCGAAACCAGTTGCAAATTCTGGGGAACTTTGGGTGTATAATGTGAGTAACTACCCTAGGAATTGCTACTCAGAACAGAAAGCCTCTCGGTTTATAAACTTTAGGGAGAATGTCCTCTTTGTTAACCATGTTTCTTTTGGTAGGAGGGGGTCCGTATGGAAGAAATTGTTGAAGGTTGTACTGGAGCCCTTCATATCCTAGCTCGGGATGTTCACAACCGAATTGTAATCAGAGGACTAAATACCATTCCATTGTTTGTGCAGGTATGTGGGTTTCATGTGAGGTGTTCTAGATTTTATGCGTCTATAAATAAAATTTCAGGATTTTAATGATAAACAGAATTTCAGAAAATTAGGGACCAAGTTAGGGGCAATTTTTCATCTATCTCCATTTATAAAATGACAATGCTCTGCTTATGCCCCCTGCCAGTGAATGACAAATGGAATCTGAATGTGTAGTGTCCTTTTAGTTCAGTACATTTAACTTTATGAAAAGTCCCTTCCATTTTCCCTGGGCAGTAGGAGAAACATTGGGGCTAGAGCCTGAAGAAGAGGAATACTTCATACTCCACTTTTGGGGTACTGAGTTTGGGAGGTAGGAGAGCTGGTCTCGGTTGCCGGAGCACAGGCCTCCAGCCACCTCCTGATTTGCCAGATCTGAGCTCAACTAAAACTGTCACTGAAGAAAGGGATTGTAGCCGAAAGTGGTCTAGAAAACCCGTGCTCCAGAGCATCACATACCTGAGAAGTTAGAGAATATGATTTACCATACAAGTAGTGCAAACGCCTCGTTCTCTCTGAATTGGGAATGTTTGCAGCACAGTGGGGTGCTTGCCATGTTCTTCCTTTAGATTTAAGTAGGTTTTGTGTTTTTCTCCTTAGCTGCTTTATTCTCCCATTGAAAATATCCAAAGAGTAGCTGCTGGGGTCCTCTGTGAACTTGCTCAGGACAAGGAGGCTGCGGAAGCCATCGAAGCAGAGGGAGCCACAGCTCCTCTGACAGAGTTACTTCACTCTAGGAACGAAGGTGTAGGTAAGTAGAGGAGGAACCAGAACCTTTAGCTGGTGTATACAGGAAAGCCTCAGCTTTTCCTCAGGGGCCTTTTTTCCTTTCCACTCCCAGCAACATACGCAGCTGCCGTTTTGTTCCGAATGTCTGAGGACAAGCCACAGGATTACAAGAAACGGCTTTCAGTTGAGCTGACCAGTTCTCTCTTCAGAACAGAGCCAATGGCTTGGAATGAGGTAGGCCATGTGGACGTGTTTATTCGGTAGTGTGCAGTTTCCCCTCAAATGTTCATACACATTTATTTGCATTTACTGTGCCCTTGGCTTGAATAGTCATCCTTTCTGCTACCTTAGCAGCCACTATGAGGAAGAACCACGACTTTAAACAGCCTATTCAGAACAAACAGTGCTGCTTCACGTTAGAATTCGTGAGGGACATGGATGAAAAAGTTACCAGGTTAAAGCATCTTTTTCAAAAGGGATGTTTTTCCAAGAGGGAATATTTTTCCTTTTAAGGAAAGAGGCACACTCTATTAAACACTTTTAGTTAGAGGTCACTTTATTGATACTGTTTAAATTTTCAATTTTTCATCTACTTTTCTATTTGAATTTCAGAATTTGTCTTCAGTATTTATCCTTAGTACAGAATTGTTCTTGAAACAGTAGAACCACTCTGAAAGTTCATTCAGTTATGCTACATAGTCATACAGTGGATTATATGAATGGAAAGAGATCCTGTAGATTATTAGGTGAAAAAGAAAAGCAGATTGCCAAATAGTGAGTAATATGTTAGTTGGGTTTTAATGGGCAGTCTTAACATGTTCCAGCTTGGGCCGTGAACTCCCCCAAACCTGTTCCCCTCCTAGTCCTCCCCTTTCATCTGCTCAGGCTAAAAATCTTTCATAGGTCATACCCTGTTTGTCAGCAGCTCCTGTTGGGGGTAGACACTTTGCCTATTTTGTTGACTGTTATATTTGCTGAAAGCATAAATTAGTGAATATTTTTAATGCTGTGTGCAGTGACAGACATGTTGCTCTCCTTATCAGGAGTGAATATTTGAGGGGTGGAGTTTGAAGTATTTCTGTGAGTTCTTTGTTCCTTCGATAACCTGAAAATATGTTTTCAGAATATTAGAGAGTATACTTGAGAATTTTCGTTTTTATTTTGCTTCCTTGCCTTGTACCTGTTTATCTAGACTGCTGATCTTGGACTTGATATTGGTGCCCAGGGAGAACCCCTTGGATATCGCCAGGATGGTATGTGTCTCAGATTTCTCGATTAACTCCAGGTCAAGCTGAGGTTCCAGAGCTTTATCAGAAGAGCTGGTTTGCTCATCTGGGAAACCAGTGTTGGCAGGAAAGTAGTGGCAGCAGTTAAAGGCACTTCTGAAATGCCAGAGTCAGCAGCAGTAGCTCTCGTGGAGCCTAGGGAATTCGGAGCCGCACACTGAGCAGGCGGCAGGATCACACCAACAAATATGTGTCATGACTGCTGGGCCTCTGCAGTGCAGAACATGACAAGTTGCCTGTGTAGTCCCTTTTTTGGTCAGAGAACCCATAATCTCTGTGTCTGCAACCCGCCCAGGAAGTAAGAATATGGGGAACTCTGGCTCCAAGCTCCGATCTGGGGTGGATCTGCACAGTTCTGTTATCACGGCATTCCGAAAAGCTCATTCAAATCTGGGTAATGGAGATGGAGCGTGGGGTAGACCAGGAGCAAATACAACTATTCACCTTATGTTTATAATCTCATCTGGGTTTTCCTAAGTATTAAACCACTGAAGCTCATAGGCGTCTTACATGACAGAGATCTAAATGTCAACCCTTAACGTAAAGGTTTCATTGGAAACAGCAGCTTGAGTTTTCTCAGTTCCTTTGTAATACTGGACTCTGCAAAAGATAGATTACATCCGCCAGACCGCCTTGCTTTTGCTTTCATCTCTTGCCCATGACTTGATGCCTGGGCGGTCATACACACAGTAGATTGCTTGCTGCCCCTCCTCAGGGATTTTATGTCTCTACTGAAGCAAACACAAAATGTTCGGTGGTGAACGGATGGTGTGGTTAGAACCTGCTGGTCTGCCTCTCCTGGAAACAGACTTTGTTTAACCTTGTGGGTGGCCTGGCAGTGAGTAATTACTTGGTTGAAGAAAGCTAGAAGTTGAACAGGCTAGAAAGGCCTGCTTTCTGAGATGAGTTCGCTGCTATTGAAGGCCCACGCCTTAGCGTTAACTTTAATGTCTTTCTCCTCTTTCTCTCTGTCCCTTGCTCCTTTTGTTTCCATCCCGACTACTCTAGATCCCAGCTATCGTTCTTTTCACTCTGGTGGATATGGCCAGGATGCCTTGGGTATGGACCCCATGATGGAGCATGAGATGGGTGGCCACCACCCTGGTGCTGACTATCCAGTTGATGGGCTGCCAGATCTGGGGCATGCCCAGGACCTCATGGATGGGCTGCCTCCAGGCGACAGCAATCAGCTGGCCTGGTTTGATACTGACCTGTAAATCATCCTTTAGGTAAGAAGTTAAAAAAAGCCAGTTTGGGTAAAATACTTTTACTCTGCCTACAGAACTTCAGAGAGACTTGGTTGGTAGGGTGGGAGTGGTTTAGGCCTATTTGTAAATCTGCCACCAAAACAGATACATACTTTGAAAGGAGATGTCTTAGAACATTTGACTGTTCTCAGATTTCTGGTTAAGTGGTCATATGTGGAAGTTATTAACTTTAATGTTTTTTGCCACAGCTTTTGCAACTTAATACTCAAATGAGTAACATTTGCTGTTTTAAACATTAATAGCAGCCTTTCTCTCTTTATACAGCTGTATTGTCTGAACTTGCATTGTGATTGGCCTGTAGAGTTGCTGAGAGGGCTCGAGGGGTGGGCTGGTATCTCAGAAAGTGCCTGACACACTAACCAAGCTGAGTTTCCTATGGGAACAATTGAAGTAAACTTTTTGTTCTGGTCCTTTTTGGTCGAGGAGTAACAATACAAATGGATTTTGGGAGTGACTCAAGAAGTGAAGAATGCACAAGAATGGATCACAAGATATGGAATTTATCAAACTCTAGCCTTGCTTGTTAAATTTTTTTTAAATATCTGTAATGGTACTGACTTTGCTTGCTTTGAAGTAGCTCTTTAATTTTTTTTGCAGTAACTGTTAGTTTTTTAAGTCTCTCGTAGTGTTAAGTTATAGTGAATACTGCTACAGCAATTTCTAATTTTTAAGAATTGAGTAATGGTGTAGAACACTAATTCATAATCACTCTAATTGTAATCTGAATAAAGTGTAACATTGTGTAGCCTTTTTGTATAAAATAGACAAATAGAAATGGTCCAATTAGTTTCCTTTTTAATATGCTTAAAATAAGCAGGTGGATCTATTTCATGTTTTTGATCAAAAACTTTATTTGGGATATGTATGGGTAGGGTAAATCAGTAAGAGGTGTTATTTGGAACCTTGTTTTGGACAGTTTACCATTTGCCTTTTATCCCAAAGTTGTTGTAACCTGCTGTGATACGATGCTTCAAGAGAAAATGCGGTTATAAAAGTGGTTCAGAATTAAACTTTTAATTCATTCGATTGTGTCACCTTTTTCTCCTTGTCATTAACTGGTTTGTGAGGATAGTTTATTCAGCTTCATCCTGAGGAAAACACACATAGTGGTATAATTGAAGTTGTAATGAGAGAGCGAGCGAGCCTTACATCCAGATGGGATTGTTTGCCAAGTTTCTTTAACAGTGGGTCCTGGGTTAAGTGGCACCAGAAACCTCAATTCAAAGGCATGTCATATCATCTTTGGGCTACATGGAACCAGACTGAAAGCCATATAGGCTTCCCCCACTCCAGACACCATCAGATGGATCCTTTCTATTAAGATAATAATGAAAAATTAGCTACCTGGATTTGGATTTCAAGCACCTTCATATAATGGAGAGGGGAATTCCTTCAACTCCCCTTTGAACTGAAAATTAAGATGGTTTAAGTGTTGATGTTTATCATGGACATAATCAGACCGGAATGGAGCCTTCTTCCACCTGTCTGCCAGGTAATCCTGTCATCCTGGCGGTAGGTCTGACAAGCCTTCGTTCATACCTCAGGGCAGAGTCAGTGGACCTGTTAAGACTTGCGTTTTGGTCTTCAGAAAGAGTGAAAGTGTTTTGTGCTTAGGGAGAGCTGTTTGAGTTACCGGGTATTTTTATTTGATTAAGATCGTGACTATTAGATAAACCTGTTCACTTCCTTTTGGCTGAAGTTTTATGAAAGCCACTGTGGTCTAAAGTGTAATAGGGATCGGAGAGGAGACCCTGTACCTGGGGAGGTGGATGGTTTCAGGTTCCTTCCAGTGCGTGACAGAGTCATGCCAGTATCACAGGAAGTTTCACATAAGGTACCACAGCAGGGTGTTTTATTTAAAGAACTTAAAATCAGAAAACATTTTCAGAGCTTTGCCTAAAATCATCATAGTTTTGAAGTTCCACTTAAAAATGTAAAGTTACTCTGATTCAGCAAGGCAGTTCTGCAAGTATTCAGTAATACAAGGTGCCAAGAATGGCCAAGACACTTGGGAAGAATGAGGGGGGAGACTTGCTCTAGTTAGGTCAGGGCCTAACTAAAAGGGTAGAGGGAGTTAGCAGTTACTGGCCCAAAGGCAGCTACAGAAGACGGAGAAAGTGAAAGACATGGACATGGTACTTTCGAGGTGTAGCACTGGAGGTCAGTGTGAAGAGAGGGACTTTTTTAAAAGTAAAGGTATGGAACAGTTGGTAGCCATTTGGAAAAAATGAAAATGCAGGGGTAAAAAAAAAAAATCATGACCCACAAAATACCAAGATTTTAAAGACAAGTAGGGTCGGTATTAATGATTTTTCTTTTGCCTCGAACTCCATTATTATGGCTTGGGAGAGCGCTGCGCAACAGCCCATGTGTCCGAGAACCACTGTATCCGTCCTAGAGAACAGCCGTGCTGCGGTAGAGAACTACAGCTTCACACGGCAGTGTGTGGATACCGCAAACAGGACTGACCAAAAGCAAGTCACAGACTGCATGCTGTAGGACCTCACTGATCGAATAAAAGGAGGACATCACCCATGGATGGTAAAAACAAAAGCAAGGAGGTGATGGGATTTCTACAGAAATCAGAATAGTGGTTACCTGGGGAGAGGGGGGCGCCTACAACATTTGATCCCATTGCAGTGACCGCCACTAAGCTGAAGAACGCAGCTCTTTTCCATGGTGGAGCAGATGTTCTAGACATGAGGCTTCGATCTGATTATTTGAATCCTTGACAGTGAAAGATTTTAAATATGCTTTTTAATTTTTGATTTCTGTAATAAAAACAGGTCTGAATCATGCTGTTTGGTTTATAAAGGGGAGAGTGCCCAGTCGATTGCAGTTATTTTGTTCTGATAGGTGAGAATTTAAAATGGCCTTACCTTGCCTTGAGTGAGTCACCCACCAGATGCAATGGCCGAGTGAGAGGCCAGGCTGAGAAGATGGTGCTTCCTTTTCCTCCTCCGTCGGCATACTGGGGGGAGTCCCCTGCCCCTCCCCACCCCACGAGTGAGCTAGAGGCAGGTGACAGGCTGCCCTTACTGCCTCTACAGTAAGGGCCCTAAATGGCATTTACAAGAAAGACCAGTGTTCCTTCACATCAGGGCTCCACACCTCCCTGGTCCTCATTCTGAGCTGTGACTTCTGGCTTCCCGTCCCCTCTACTTCCCTCCTCAGCCCCACTGAAGCTTGAGGCTTTCACGGCCGCCTCAGCCTTGGCTGGTCTTGTCCCCGCCCGCCCTGCTCCCCTGCCAGTTCGTTCCTGAAGCTCCTACCTCAGCTCCTGTATCAATCCATGGATTCTGCCACCATATTTTCCTGTCACCAGGGATGGGAGAAAAGGAATCTTGCTTCAAGCCAAGAGCCTTAGCCCCCAGAGGTCCCACTTTCTGAGCTGTGTCACAGGGATAAAGCCTGAGTGTAGTCACAGAATTGACCTGAGAACCTCGTGAGATAATCTTGAAAAGCCTCAGGGTAATAGGGGAACCATGAAGAGCTAGACAAGTACAGAGAACTGTAAGAGAAAATTCTGTTGCTGCATCCTACAGACCCACCAGCCGTAGCTGCCCCGATGATTGTCCCCCCTCCTCTCAGGAGACCTGTGGCCAGGGTGTGGCTCTTTAGAGGGACAGACCCCTCCCCTGGGCACCTGCTCTCGGGCTGTAAGTTAAGGCAAGGTCTTGAAGCTTTGGGCCTGCTGTTCACGGAGGAAACGGTAGTTCTGTGCAGCCATTCACCTGGTCATCTCCAGCTCCCCAATCTGCTCTGCAACTTGTGACCCCATTTGTCCCTGAAGAGGCTCAGCTGATGGTCATAGCCGGTTAAAGAGCAAATAGCTGAAGCATCAAAGTAGGGAGACTGAGGGCCAGTAGGTGCCTGGGTCTGGGCCCCTTGCCACTGCCAGAATCCTGAGAGCTCTGATGGGCCAGGAGCCAGGGGCCAGCTCTTCTCTTAGAACTGGAGCCAGCCTGGGAAGCCAGATAGGAGGGTATGGGCCTCACATGGGGAGGGCAAGGAAGGGTTAGGCCACCTGCTGCCCCAGCCAGGCCTGTTCGTGTCCCCTATGCCTGTGGGGCCAGGGCTGCTCCTTTCCACTTGGCGCCCTTATGAGAATAATAAGGATCCCCTAACTCCAGGATGACAGCCTCACGTCCCTGTGAAGCCTGGCCTGCGCTAGCCTCAGTGCCCCAGCACTCTAGGCCAAGCACTCGCCCTGCTTGTCCCGTGCCTACTCAGATAGCTTTTCCTGAAAAAGGCAATGCTGAGGGGCTCCGGGCCAAGAAGGGTCCATTCAACAAGACCATTCTGGAATGTTAAAACTTCTCTGTTTTTACCTCAAACAGCAAAGACGACTCTGTGCCCTTAACTAAAAAGGGTAAGGCAGAATCTTCCGGTGCTCTGAAGTACCTTCTGGGAAGACTCCAGGGACAGAACTCCAGGGCAGTTCCCCCAAGAACTGAATGAAGGGAGAGAACAGATTTGTTTCCTGGGAAAATAAATAGGGAGACCCTTGCCTGTTTGCTGGACCCAGCCGGCAAGGCGACTGGAGCTGAGGGCCAGGCCTCCGGCTTCTCCCCCACCCCAGGACCACAGGCAAAAGGAGTGGGGCATGGAGCGTCCTCACCATGGGCGGTGAGTAGCCTAGGAGACATGGAAGGAGACTGTATGGGCCACTCTTGCGCCGTGACTGCTCCCAGCTCAAGCTCTGGGTACCCCGCTGCGGGGCACACAAAGGCTGTGGAGTCAGTTCCTTGGTTCAACCAGACTCTGGGGCCTTGGGAAGCCGGACCGGCCCCACTGAGCCTGTTTTCTCTTGGGAAATGAAGCTAAGGCAGCCTGCTTTTGTCAGCTGTGGTGGCGAGTAAATAAGGTAACACCTAGGCTCCTGATGGAGTTGGGCACAGAGAACTGCTGTTTTCAGTACAAACGGCATGGAGGCTGGCAAACTACTCAGACCACGGCGGCAAGGTGGGGCTGTTGGTGACAACGTGACCAGCTTCCTGTGATGCAACAGATGGGGCCACCTATGCGCCCCCTGGTGCTTACCCCGCCCACTCCGCCTGCATGCCCTTTCCTACGGGCCCCAGAGAGGCTAAGGAAGGGGCTCAACTTGCTCACATAGTTCGAGCTGCCCAGGACCCAACCCTACCTTCCAGGCCACATTCAAGAGTAAGCCTTCCTCAGTATCACAGTCCCAGCACCTTTCTGCAGTGTCCACCAAATATTTCCATGGGCTTCTTATATTCATAGGAGGTTTAAGGGCATATGTGTGACGGAACATAGGAAGAAGCTGGAAAGGTTCTAAGGACAAAGGGGGTAATTGGCAGAAGTTGGCATCAAAGTAGAACCCCCCCCCCAATCGCAACACCTAGATGGGCAGACCTTCAAGGAAGCCAGCGTTCCTCAAGCGTTTTGCATGCATCCTTTAGGCTAACTTTGCACCATCTGCCTGTTTGTGGAGCTTTGCCCAGCCCTCCCCAGGATTCGTGGATTCAGTTTGTCCCTGAAAGGTAAAAGGTGGGAGGTAAAAGTGGGAGGAAGACAAGAGGCTAAAACTAGTTTCCACAGGCTTGCTCTGGAGCTGCGGCTGGGAGAGCATTACACGCCTAGTCCTGTCTTTTAAATCTTCTCTGGTGAAAGATGCTCACAGATGCCGCAGGCTGAGAACTGTGGCTCTTCGTGTCCCTGATCAGCACAGGCTTTCGTGGAGGCCTACCTAGCACACACACACAGGGAAAGCACATTCTCAGAACAGCTAGCAAACCTGTGTTTTCCAGATGCATCCCGCAGGAATGAAGGAACCACTCCGTTCTGAGTGGGTTTCCTAGGGCCCAGGGTTAGTGAGAACGCCTCAGCCAGAAGGTTCTGGGTTCAGCTGACTTTATTAGGTCCTTTATTAGAGCTACAGGTGGCGATGTGAATGTGTGTAGCCAAAGGCTGGTGCTGCAGAACAGGCTTGTGCTAAGTGTCTTCTTGCCTAGTGTCCAGCAGCTTGGAGGATTTCCAAGGCCAAGGAAGCCACCACACTGTCAGCAGACGAACTGTGAGAAAAACCAGAGTAGAAACACTTAGCCACCTCCAGGGCAAAATGCGGCCTCTTCCAAAGGGGCTGGCCTCTTTTGTACCTGAGTATCTGATGGACCAGCTCCTTCATAAAGTTGCCCTGTGTATCACTTTGAGGCGCAGAAGCAGGACACTCAGGCTCCAGGGCCTCAAGGTGAGAACCCCCTCAGCCCACAGTCCCAGAGGGCTCCGAACTGGCCTTGCGGGCACCCCTAAACCAGACCTGAGCTCCTGGCCGCCCCCCCCGCCCCGCCCACCTGACACTGAGCTGTAAGGGCAAGTCAGCAGCCAGTCCCTGCCTAGCCCAGGTCCTGCAACGGGCCTGCCCAGAGCCGGCCTGCAGCTGACTTGGGCACAAGGGCCAAGACTCCAGACCTGCCTCCGATGCTGGCTCTCCCTGCTCCATGTTGCCACTTCCTGGCCAATCAGCCAGGAGGCATTGCGTTTCTTACTCTAATAGGTGTGGATGTGCAGGCAAGAGCTTCACGTGGAAAATTCGCTACTGGAGCTAATTGAAACCTGTGCCTTAACAACAGTTAGCAAGGAAAAGAACGACATACGGCACTGCCTTGAAGTATAAAATTAGCTCATGGCAGACTCCTGACTACACAGAAATAGAGCTGTTGCCAAATCACCAGGGTTGGGGGCGCTGCATAAGCAGTGGGTCACAGTGGACGGGGCTGTGGTCAGGAGACGGTGCTGCGCTTTCCTGCTGTGCGCATCAAAGGTCCCAAGGGACGGCAAGAATGGGTTTGAACTCCACCTGATCCCGGCTGAGTCAAAGCTAGGCTGGTGGGAGTTCTGCCGCCCACCCTGCCCACCAGAGCAGCCCAGAGGCCCCTGTAACAGGCAAGGAGGTGCACCGACCTCTGGCAGCGCCACACTGGAACTGAGAGCCCGGCCACCCGCTCATTCTTGGTCAACATAAGACCTTTTCTGGTTGCGCCAGCCGAACGGAGCCCAAACAAGACAACTTCTTCAGCAGCAACCTCCCCAACCCAACTCTTGAGATCTGCCTGGTGTAGGCATTTCAGTTGCTGCAGTGTTGGGCGGGGGTGCAGGAGGGGCTCCCAGCTTTGTGGAGCACTGAGCTATGTTTTGATACATTTGGTCCAAATCTGGGTCCAGCTCTGAGGGGTGCTGGCTTTGGCCTCCAGACAGCTGGAGGCCCCTGCTGGCTGAGGGCTCCCACAGAGGCAGGTGCTGGAAAGGAAGGGCTCGTGGGGCTCTCCGCTCAACTCCTGTCTGCAGTGGCTCTCCCGGGGAGGCCCTCCTTGGCATGCATCCGCTCAGAGTGGCTTCATCATGGCCCAAGACCAGGTCTCTGGGGACAGATGCCACATACTCTGTGGCCCAGCCTAGGGAGTCCCTGGCCATGTCTTACACCACAGGGGCCCAGCAGAGCAAGGAGGCCCCCCCCGCACCAAAGCTAGCCTGTTCCTCCCCCTCACCTCACAGAGACCACGGATAACCTCCCTCTTTGGCTTAAACTTGGGAGGAGAGGGACTGGGGTTGTCTAGGTGATGGCATCCCTTCCCCACAGACCACTTCTTAGCAATACCCCAGCCATGTATTTTTCTTCAAATTAAAACTGAACCCAAGACACCAGGAAGCAGAATTCAGAGAACACTGTGGTTCTGAAAACCAACCAGGAAACCCTAGCACCCATTCCGTGTCTTGCGTGCCCAGTGAAGGCCCGGTACCCCAGACGGCAGCTCAGGGGACTGTGGCAC